AAACCAGCAGTACATCTTACTTTATTGGTAGAAATAAAATGAAATAAGCATTTTTGTTAGTAGAAGATGTATACATTCTGCTGATATAGACTAGGTCTTAGTAAGCTTTGAGCTTTCAGTTTGTTGCAGGAACTTGGCACTTACTTGAGAAAGCTGTGATTTGAGCAATCAGGGGTCACAACCACTGAATGGTTTTACCCCTATGAAACAATGACTTGTGACCAGCAGGGTCACTGATGACTCTGTTCAGAAACTTATATTCAGAGTCCTAACAAGGCAGCTTAGCTGATGCCTGGGGCAGTGGGATGCATGGGACTTCGCACTGGCAGCACTGCAGCACTGGTTGTGCAGCTGCAGTTCCAGCTCAGCTGCAGAAGCTATTTTCCAACCTCCTTCCCACCCTTCTCCCCAAGTCAGCACCCCACCCTAGTTACACTACTGCTTATTGTTATTTGTGGAGGGACTGAAATCTAGAAAAAGCCCAGCAGAAACACAGGGGCAACACAGTTATCAGAAGCTATTTTACAAAAGAAGCGTCCTGTAAACAATGGGAACCAGTTCATCATCAGAAAGGAGAACACCCAGACAGAGAGAAGGGAGGTTAGAGGTTCTGTTCCTCCACTAACTACTGACTAAAAGCAATTACTCACAAGAAGAGGGAGTATCATTACCTGAATGAAGCCTGGCATGGTGGAACTGGTTGGGGTTGGTTTCCCTAAGATCTGCTGTTCTCTTGTGATTTTAAAGGATAAACTTGAGTCTGTGAGAAATTTTCTCTCTCAGCCTACATTTCCTTGCTTTAACTGCCATGCAAGTCATATGCCTGGTGGGCTGGGCCAGTCTGAGGGTCCAAGGCACTTCTTTTAGGGCTGGACTGAGCCTAGACTGTAACAACCCATTGTTCAAGAAGAGTTTCAGAAAGGGAGTACAAATTAAAGTGAGTTTTACAGAAATAAGATACACAGACCCAGGGTGCATTTAAGTATGCCCAGTTTGACAGTTGGATTTAATCACAAAAGACTATTTTCTATTCAGAGTGGGGTGGGGCCAGGTTGTGACAGAAACCTCCTCCATTACCTTTTGTGACCCTTCTATGTCAAGAATGGGTAGGATCTGGTTTGGGGAAAATCCAGGAAAAAATGATGAGTACTAAAGCCATGGTCTAGAGGTTATTGTATGTCTAGAAGGGGGAAATTATGGATTTCCTGAAAAGGGGAAAGACTCAGATTTGGGGCCAAGCTGAGACTCTTGTCCATGCTGGTATTTTTTACAAACCTTTGATTTTTTCTACTAATCACACTACTGCATAATCTCTTTGGTGTGGTTATTATTCCCTCATGTATTGTGAAAAGTACATAGCTGCTCAGGGGAGAGCATTTAACTATGAGTAAGTAGGCACTTAGAGTAGAGAGTACTTGGAGTTTTTATATGAACCATATTTGTCTTTCATTTGAATAAATGCATTTCTTATAAGAATTTGAGTGTAATTATTGTAAAAACCACACCAGGAACTCTTACTGGCACCTTAAGGCTCAACCTCTTCGGAGATACCAAAAGGATCACTTCTTCTTTTAATTTGTCCCAAGTACAGTGTATGGTTTTGCTGTGGAAGTTGAAAAAGAAGTCTTCTACCCAGGGGGCTTCAAACCCCTTGATATACCATAGAATAACTCAGATTCTTAATGAATCTTGGGGTCCCAATGCTATAAAATGTTAATTAGAAGTTGTATTTGTGAATACCAAAGTTGAGAAAAGAAAGACCCAGAGAGTTAGACTCACACATGCAATAAGACTAAGATCTTTCAATGTTTCCAATTTTGTCATTTCTATGTACTGATTCTAATCTTACATTCATCTGTTTTATACTACTATAATTGTATTTAATTTCATAAAGCTCACATTTTATCCTAGGGAACCTAAATTACAATCAGGACCATAATAGCTTCAAATGTGTCATAATTACCTGGTCTTACCTAGTGTATGCTCATATAATTCCATTATATTTTGTATATTATTTCTGTTGTAAGAGCAAAAAATATTCCACTATCTTTACTAAGTTGCTTGCTCACCTGCCTCTGCTTGCAGACATCCTCTGTATTTCATTTCATCATGATGTTATCTGCTGCATGAAAACCCATTTTAAGAAACAGAAACACACGCATTTGAATATTTCACCTGCATAAGTAAAAAGTACTCGCAATGTTTTGTTTAAGAAATATAGGGAAAAATCACTTTTGTACTGGATTTCAGTAAAAAAGGAACTTTTCTCATGAACGTGTGAGAGACAAAACCAGAATGGAATAGAATGACTTCTGCATTCTAAAATATTGTGCCCTTATCAAAATGGCACATTAAGGGAGCTACCATGCTAGTTGGAGAAAACACTCCCAGAATCCTAAATTCTTCAGATAGCCTTAGATTTCTTTTTTTTTTTTTCCTATCCTTAAATTGTTGCCATCATAAGTTATTGGATGGGTTAGGAAAACTGTCTTAGGCAGCAGTGAAGAAGCACTCATCATCATGCATGTGTCTGCACACAAGTATTCCAAAACAATGAGGAATATGATGAAAAGAGGGTAATGGAAATGGGATTATGAGCAGTTGCTCCTAGAAGCAGCTGCAGCCATGTACAGACGTTCAATTTCTACTGGGAGAATCCCCACTCTCCCAGTTGAAATTAAGATCATACAAGTGTTTGCTAAACTTCTCTCAAACGAAACATGCCCTAATGTGGGAGGAAGATCTCCCTTGTTCAATAAGAAAGATTTTGCCTGCAGGAGAATTTCTCTTACATGAATTAATGCTTCCCTGCTACTTCACTCCTCCCAGACCAGAAGCAGTGCCTCTTGTGCCTTTCCACAATGGGGGTCACCCTGGTCTGGAGAAGGCATGGGGAGCAGCAGCAACCCCACTTCTTTTGGGACTATCCTCCTGCTGCTCCTTCCCCTCATGGAGACTGTGAGAAAATGGGAGGAGCAGTCAACAGCCACTCCCCACCTGTTCCCCAGACTGGGATGTCTGGGTTTAAAGAGAGTGGGGAGCCCCCTTTAAACAACTATGTGCAGCAGAGAATGGAGAAGCTCCCCAGTTGCATGTGGCTGTTTAAAGAGTCACCAGGCATTTATAGCTGAGGACAAGGGAACTCCCCTATCCCCAGCTGCACATACCAGGAGCCTCTTTAAGCCAGAGCATACAGATGGAGATGCAAAACCTCCCTTATCCTCAGCTGCACATGCCTGGTACCTCTTTAAACCAACTCATGCAACAAGAATGCCTCTGTCCCACCCCACACTGCTCCCAGCTGACTTTGCTACCATGACAGAACACCCCCTTTTCTCCCTGCACTCCTCTGAGTCAGCCCAGAGGAGTGCAAGGAGTGGGGCTACTGTCCTGCTTCAAGAACCCTGTCCTACCAATCACTCTAGCTTCCAAGCTATTATTCTACTGAGAAATTCTTACCAGTAGAAATGAACACATGTCCATGACCCATGTCTCTAATGAACAGATGTTTATGTATATGAGCAGAGTAGCCCATGTCATAGGAGTAGTATTATATTTCTTCCCAACTACTGGTTTGGCACCTACTTGTTGTATTTTTTCTTCATGCTAGTGGAACTAATTCAGCCTGGTTTAAAAAAGATATTGAGAGCATTTGCATCAGCTATCTAACTATGTGGCCCCTGTCACTGTTATAGCTGAGTACTTCATGATCATTTATCTTCACAACTCTCTGTATGAGGGAAGTATTAGTCCAGTTTTTATAGACAGGGAATGTAGAAACAGAAAAATTAAATTATTTGCTGCAAGGTCACAAGAAGTCTGTGACAAAGCTTGGAATTGTACCCAGACTTCCTGAATCTCAATCAGTGCCTTTAATCATAAGTCCGGATTTCCTTTCTGACCAGTTGCCTTCCCAAGATCGCAACACGGTTGCCTTTCCAAAATTACAATATGATTATGAATAATGTGTGGTTAAAAGTATTTGGTAGTTATGTGGGAAAGGCAGCTAATAGGATTTTTTCAAATGTATTAATTATTCAAATGTTTTAATATTGGCTGTATGGATTAGTCACAACTATTCCAGATTCATGTTGTGTTCCTTAGCATGATTAGTTCAATAAGTCACAGTATATTTTCTTCTGTTTTATTGGATGAATGTGCATGTGCTGCTGGCATGACTGTTGTACATGCACATTTAAAAATGGGCTTTGCACATAGATTCATAGATTCATAGACGTTAGGGTCGGAAGGGACCTTAATAGATCATCGAGTCTGACCCCCTGCATAGGCAGGACAGAGTGCTGGGTCTAGATGACCCCAGCTAGATACTCATCTAACCTCCTCTTGAAGACCCCCAGGGTAGGGGAGAGCACCATCTCCCTTGGCAGCCCGTTCCAGACCTTGGCCACTCGAACTGTGAAGAAGTTCTTCCTAATGTCCAATCTAAATCTGCTCTCTGCTAGCTTGTGGCCATTATTTCTTGTAACCCCTGGGGGCACCTTGGTGAATAAATACTCACCAATTCCCTTCTGTGCCCCCGTGATGAACTTATAGGCAGCCACAAGGTCGCCTCTCAACCTTCTCTTGCAGAGGCTGAAAAGGTCCATCTTCTCTAGTCTCTCCTCGTAGGGCTTGGTCTGCAGGCTCTTAACCATACGAGTGGCCCTTCTCTGGACCCTCTCCAGGTTATCCGTATCCCTCTTGATAGAGGGTGCATAGACTGGTGCATGCAACTATAAGGTCTGTTTTTCATGAACTTTTTTCGACAGTAAAATTCAGCTTCTGGAAAGCAAACACAAAAGAGGCATGAATACAGCCAAATGAAATTACTTTAAGATTCAAATGCATTTACATGAAATTTTATTTATTTATGCATTTTGCATCATTTTGAAAAATAGCAAAGTTGAAAATATACATTAAAATATTTCAGGTTTGCCACATGTCATTTATTAATATGAATTACATCACTGTGATATACTTAAATTTTTTCTTCTATTTTCCAGATTAACATGACTATCTAACTCTGTCGCATCTACGCACTACCAGAGTAGATTCAAGTAAGTGTATTCTCTATATAACATGCTAGTAAAATGCTGACATACATACTCCACTGAAGATGTGGTTAAATCAGGATGCCAGGAAGGAAAGGGAATATGACCGTGCAAGGTCTAATGCATTCTTTTCAATGATTTGTCTGGAGTTTAAATCGGGAATTAATGGCCTATTGCTTTTCTCATCCCGTTTACTTTACTTTTGTTGCCTTTATTGCGATGTATAAACTGAAGAAGCTGTTCGTGTTTTATACTATAACTGCTTTTATTACAAAAATATATGTGTTATTATGCTTGTAGATGTGACATGAGCATCATAAGGAAGTAATCTTGTGTCAAGATATTAACCAGATCATTCTTCTTTAAGAGTCTGACTTTTTTTGCAGAAATAACTGCTAGGGGGAAATGGTGTCAGAGTGGCTATGGCCTCTTGTTATGGTTTGAGATGTGTGGGTTCAAGCCCTATGCTACATGTGTCCAAATCTGCTACCAATTGGTCCAGCTCTAACTGGGTACCTTGTCATTTGGGTTATGGAATCAGAGAGTTGAATGTGAAGGTAGACTCTGTGGGCACGTCCCAACAAGCACACACATGCAGGGGCACATTTCCTGCAGGAAAAATAGCTGCAACACCTGTTTGTGCCTCTGCTGTTTGTCCCCGGGCATGCCCCTGCACGTGTGCTCTTGTGTGTGGCAAAGTGACCCAGGTGGGGTAAGGGAGGCTGGGCCTTGCACCTGTGCTGGCTCAGCAGTCTTACCTGGAGTTGTGGGGGCCTCTAGGGGCAGCAGCAGCAACAAGCCAGCCGCTCAGAGCATGTTCAGCTGCCCGAGTGTGGTTCTGACTGGCCAGGCTCCCTTTCTGGTGGCCTGTGTTGTTGTTGTGCATGCCACACAGCTTTTTTCAGCAGTAGTTTTTTTGACACTGGGTGTCAAAAAAACCAGCGTGGCAAAGGGGTGCACATGTACTGTGTGCAGTTTGCAGTACCTCAAACTGCTTTGAGGCACTGCAAACTGCACGTGTGCTTGTCAGGATGTACCCTGTGGGTTTTTGGCTATAGGAACTGGTGTGTTTTAAGCATGATAGCTTATTGATCTTAGGAAGGGTTTTGACTTGATAGAGTATGGGCCAAACAAATGTATGTACATGCATACTAGGTTTTGCTTGCATATTCAGGTAATGCATTGAAATTGAAAAATTGAAGTCACGAGGATTATAGTCTGCTTGACAGCTAGACAAAAGATACAATGAAGCAATTCTCTTCCCAGATATAATATTAGCTATTGATCTTTCTAATGTAGACTCTTTAATTCTGCTGTAATACAAAGGCAGCTGCCATCAGGGGGTAGTCCCCAGAGAATGCCCAACTTAACAAGCCAGAAGCAAACAGGAGACTAGAAGAGAAGAGCAACGTACCAGAAAAAATGATTGCTAGGCTATAGAAGGAATAGAAAAATACTGTGTTTAGTTCTTTTTTTTACTCTGCTTTTAGACTGTTGTAACTTTTGTGACTTATTATTAACATGAGGATGAGAGGGATCAGCTCCATTCAACTTAGCCAGTTCAGCCAACTTGGTAGATGCGTGAGTTTAAGAACTGGGTGCTTTGTTTGAAAGCACTTTGTGAGGACCATATAGTTCTATGGTGGTGTTTCTTTATGAGCTCAGTGTGGAGAGTGAGTGAATAGAAGGGGTTGTGATCCATTGTTGACAGCCAGTGGGTGAAGAGAAGACAAATATAAAGCCCTGTGACTCATTGAGCTCGCTTAATAGCAAACAGGAAGAAAGAAGATAATCATACTATTAGAGAAGAAATGATTACAATTTGATTGCTGAAGAGACTCCAAATACTATATATTGTCTCTTAAGGACCAGGATAGGCAATGGGACCAAAAAGGAGGAGATTATCCTGAATTGGAAAATTCACATTCATTACTTTATTAATAAATACTCCAAAAAGGTTACAAATGACTTCTAAGACCAATAAAAGAAACGGTCAGAGCAGGTGGTCTTCAAGATACTTTCTGATGCCAGGTAAAAAGAAAAAAGAAGATTAATACTGGAGACAAAAAGGTGTGGGTTTGTCAGATTTTGAATTCATGGATCACTCAAATGCTTACTTAAAAGTACTGCTTTTTGTGTCTCAATCATAAGAATAAGAGGGCAGCATATTACAAAATTAGACACATTAATGAATGTTCAGGGACTCTAACAGGATGAAAGAGGATCCTGCATAGGTGTCTGAGTCCACTTAAGTGCCTAATAGGTGGAACTGGATCTGGCCTGAATATTGTCTCTCAGTAGGGTATTTTGTGCGTGACTTAAAATAACTACCTCTGAATTCAAGAAACCTCAGCATTTTGTCATGGTGACTGTAGCAGGTTGACACCTCAGGGCCTTTGCAACCAGACTTTTGCCCTTTCCCCAGATGTCTCTCAGCAAGGCTCGGTAATATCCAGTCTTTTAAACCCATTGGCTTTTGCTCCCTGGAGCATATCTCAGCATGCCCCAGTAATATACAGTCTTTTAACAAAATAAAACAAGTAAACAAAAACCTTATTGTCCTGGACACTGGGAAGGGTCTGCTGTGGCTTCAGCTAGTTCCTACTGCAAGCTTGCCTTCCTCATAGCCCAGAAGTCTCCCATTCCTGGTGCTTCTCCTCCACACCTTCTTCTGGTTATGCCTGCTGGGGATTTTGATTCCCAGAAAGCCATTTCCACATTAGCCTTCAGAGAGCTGCAGCCCCTCAGCCAGGAGAACTGCCTCCTCTTCAGGGGACAGGCCCCTTTGATACAGTGACCAAAAGGAATGATGGAAAACTTCTAAATGTGGGAAGTATTTCTCAATTAGTTATATGAAGTTTCAATTTATAAATCTGATTTGACACTGTTAATAAACCTTTCCAGCAAAACGGTTGGTGGAGCAGTTTGGGAATGTATTGTCCAGAAGAGAGGGTGCCCAGAAGTGGCGTGAGTGATAAGTTGATCAGGGTATTCCAAGATAAATTTTTTTTTTCTTGTCCAGTACTGAAGAGACCTTGAAAACAAACAGGGTTGCTTTTGGTGTGATATCTAGGCTGTGCTTGATAAGGTGAGTGGACAGTTATCTAAATTTGCACTTGTAATTAGGCCAGAGAGCATATATTTATTGCCTTCTAATTAATATCCATTTCTGTGCAGTGCACACTTGCTACCTAGATAATGGTGTTTCTGACATTCTTTCTCAGTTTTAGGTGACAGATTTTAGCAGCTCACAGCATTTACCTGTGGAGGTCACAGGAACTGTAGAAATAATTGTTGACCCATGGGTCCAGTCAGCTATAGGTTTAATTAAAACTTTTACCCTAAGGCTTTTTAGGGTTTTCAATGTCAGTATTTCTGAGTCCATCGAATTAGAGCTAGGAATTATGCAGGGCTGGAATATTCCCAAACTTCGGTGGTAAAATGCCCGGGTCTTGGTGGGTCATGGATTAGTTTCATTTACTATATCAGGTTTCCTTGCTAATGTGGTCCTTTTGGTGCAGAGTGGCAGAATTTCATGATCTTTGAAAGGCATTTCTGATAAGAAAGGCCTAGAGGGAGTAGTCCATTGATTGTAGACAAAGGAAAAAAGACAAGCATCCTATAACCAGTGAGATTCTTTTAGGGTTACTGGATGTTCTGTCAAAAATAGTGCAATTTTGGGAAAGAATGAATTACCTTTAAGAGCAGTGTTTGTTGTGGTCTTGTATAATTCATGAGAGTTATTGAGCTGGTGGCACAGATGGTTGGGGACAGGATCATACACATGTTATTTAGAATGAATGGAACAAATATAAGGTATTTGAAAACAGGCTGTCTTGGCCAAAAGGCTAAGAGAATGCTTATATTGATGTATGTATCAAGCAAGACCATCTTAGTCAATAGCATAATTTGCAGGGGCAGGGGCTGGAGGGTGGTGACTGGGACACCGCTTTTAAGGATCACAAAAATACCCACTGCTGCTGCTACTGGTGGTTGACCATATTGCCGCTGCCAGCATTGTGGGAACTGGTGCTGCCTCATGCACTGCCACTATCTAGGGCACACAGCTGCCCTGTTACACCTCTTAGTCATACATAACCATCAGCCAGGCCCACTGTCTGTGCATGATGATAGCAGCTGCCAGACTACATGTTGGTTTGCTACAATGTGAACCTACTTGTGTATCAACCCAGCTAACTTCTTCACATGTTTCTTTGAGGATCAAGAGAGCAACATCAGTATCATCAAAAACTATTGACTTTCAAAGGACTCTAGAGCTATGGGAATCTAACTGTTTTAGCACTGTTGTTTGTATGCCAGTGGAGGTGCTTCCAGGACGGACAATGAGGTTTTTTAGTCCTGCCTGCTTGTGATTATGAGACCTCTTATACAAAACCATCACCTGGATTTGCATTTGCTCTGTAATGCAGTTGTTATATAAGAGACCTCCTGGTTGTCAGGTGAGTCACAAGCTGGCCTCAAGGCTGCCTACATTCATTGGTGTGGCGGGAGGTACACTCAAGGGATTAGCTCATACCTTGTCTTTACTAATGAACCGGTGAACTGTGACCATGTAGAGGCCTAGTTATTCACCTTAGTAAAAATTATCTTAGGGCCTGCACTGGAGACAGCTAGAGAGAGAAGATTTAGAGGAATGAGGGGCTGATTATACAATCATGGCTGAATGCAAGATTGGTTTGGTCAAACGTGCTCATGAGATAAAGTTAGGCGGGGTGCTGTTGAGCTGGCCCATCTGGGTTGAGTACACAAAGGTATGGAAAGGGAACATACTGGTGATCCCAGGATCATCTGATACGAGCTTGAGGTTTTCAGTGTATGATGCACTGTATTTTTTGGATGCAAGGGTCAAGATTTGTTTTTGGGACATAAGGGATTGGGTCAGACAGAACAGAAAGGGTTGGGGAAAAGGAAGCCAAACAAATTACTCGTGGCCACCAGTACAGTCCTGTTCAGTTCACATAAAAGAAACCAGATCCCAGAAGTAA